GACTGATCATTTCTTCGTCAGTGGGCAAACGTACAAAATCAGCAGGGGATCAAATACTTTTTTCCCTCACTGTATGTTCGGAAAAGAGGAGGGGGGAGACGAAAATAATGGATGTGGTCTTAAAGCCACCGTAAGCGTGAACAATCAATTAAGACCCTAAATGGTTTATCAAATCCTTACAATGATTGCTAAGCCAGAATCCATCTTCTCGGTTGAAATGGTCTCTGTGTTTGTATATGTGGATAGCCTCATGAACGAATCTCTCATGGTAGCCAGATTGCTTACAAAGAACCTCTGTCTTGGAGAAGTCAATGTCATGTGAGCCTACTGAATTATAACAGTGATCTGCCACGGCCGAGGTGTTGGTCCTACCGTGTTTTAGGTCTGCTTTGTGTTCACGAATGCGGTCCGAGACATGGCGTTTGGTTTCTCCAATGTAACTACTACCACAGAGGCAGCTTAGTTTGTAGACGCGAGGGTACTGTATGTCCGGAATCACATATTTTACAGACGGAACCAGATCACGGATTTTATGTAATGAGTTGAATCGGACCTGGATCTCGTGTTTATTCAAGATTTTGGAGATCTTTTTTGTGATTCCCGCAATGTAGGGTAAAGTTATAGTAAAATAATGTTTTTTTTCTTCCAGATTGTCTTCATGATCGATAATTATTCAATGCAAATGTATCCTTGCTATAGAACTGCGCAAACTATCAGTCAACACACGTTATCATCAGCCATGATGTATCCACTGATGGATGAAGGTCTCTGCATGTGACCTCCACCCTATACACACACTCACACCTGTGATGCAACGATCCATCTCGCTCCTCTACATCGGGTGATCTCATCACTCCATCTCCATTGTGGTTATTCCTCTCAAGTGCGTCACGTGCCCTTCGTCCGCCACTCCATCATCAGCACAGCTGTCAACCCAGACGGTTTACCCCGTATTCTTGTACAAGGAAATTTAGTTTGCAGGTCCACACGGCGTACAGCCGTTTCAATACGCGCTTTGTAGGATGAACGTTGAGATTTATAAGGGAAACGGGGTGAGCAATAAGGTGTGACTTGGTCTGTAATAAGGTAGGGAACTGATAAGGGGTTGACAGGTGTGGATCAGTCGCCTTCATCGGCCATCGTATCTTCCCACGAGATCTACTCCCCCAAGCTCACTCACGAGACGGTCAATGCGATGACTCCAATTTACATTTGTCCCCTGATCTACGTGTTACTCTCCTGTGTGTCTCGGTGTAATTTCCAGCACGCATCATCACTCCACGGTTCTTTGTCAGACATTGTATCTTTTGTTCTGTTCCCTCCGCCAGTGTTCATGTTTCAATCAATACGCAATCGCTGGTTATACGATGCAGAGATGGAACAATGTCTTCTTCAAGCACAATCATAGGTCGCTTTGCATTATCAAATTTAACGTTATAAAAGCACTCCAAACTACTCTCCCGTTCCTCTTTGAGTCATCGATAAATCATTGTTCCGCCATCAGCAATTGCCCCGTGGATGTCGGTATCCGGCTGTTTTCTATTTGTGTCCCTCCAACAATTATTTTATTTTGTTTATCACTCTTGTTGTGCGTGACGTTTGTTTTGCTCATTGCATGTATCTTGAGCTAAACTTTGGAAGCCTGCCCTGCTGATGTCTGTGCTGCAATCATTTCATGTACTCCTATTCCTTGAGTGGTCATTACGTTTGTTTGAGATTGTACATGTTTTTATTAATTTAATGTTTATACATTTTATTCCTCCGTACATTGTTTAAATAAAAGGTATAGTAAAACGCTGCTTTTGATAATAACAATGTTCGGTTGACATGCAATGATTACCCCGCGGGGATTACATTGCAACAATCCAGCCACGATTAAATTTGAAGAATCAACAATTTCCCGTCTAATTTATGCCCACTTGTTTATTTCATTATCCTAAATGCGTCATTATCTATCACAGGTACAGTTCCGACGCCTATAGGGTGAGTATAAGAATCGAGAAAACATCTTTAGTGTGGATAAAACCATGCAACGCAACCAAATCCAGCTGAGTCATGTGTCACCCAGAGCACCGACTCGCTCACCATCTCTCCATCCACGTCAGCTCAAGCCTCCCGTAAATCAGCTGACGTGGGTTGCCACCCCTCTCTCCCCGCTGCCTGAGAATGCACGATGATCATCGCGCAGCATTGAGGCATATGACGTACAGCCCAGGGACTGCTTCGTGACGTTGTGTGTGTATCTGTGTGTGTGTGTGCCCTGGTGGTCCCCCTCTTTAAGAAGGGGGACCGCATATACTGTAACAACTACAGGGGCATCTCACTCCTCAGTGTGCCGGGCAAGGTCCTGGCAAGGATTATTCAGCATCGCCACGCCAGGCACGCTGAGGAGAGGTTTGCGGAGCCCCAATGCGGTTTCAGGAAAAGGCGGTCCTGCACAGATGCCATATTTTCTGTCCGTCTGCTACAGCAGAGGTGTAGGGAATTCCAACAGGACCTACATCTCTGCTTTATTGACCTGGTCAAGGCCTATGATACCATCAGTAGGCCTGGGCTCTGGGTTGTTCTTCGTGCTTTTGGAGTCCCTGACCCTCTGCTCACGATCATTAAGGACCTTCATGATGGTGAGCAGGCCCGGGTAAAACTACGTGGCCGGGATCAGAGCCATTCCCTGTACAATTGGGGTGCGACAGGGATGTCCTCTGGCTCCCAGATTATTTAACATCTATTTTGACCACGTAGTTCGTGAAGCCTTCAATAGCTGTACCGGGGGAATCTCCATATGGTACAGATATAATGGGAGGCTGATCGATGCCCGGATGCGGTCAAGGGATGGCTCCCTATTGCTCAACCACGTTATGTATGCCGATGATTTGGTAATAGCTGCTCATTCAGAGGAGGAGTTGGAGACGCTGCTGTTGAGACTGGAGCGTGCCACTAAGAGATGGGGCCTTACCATCAGCCCCACCAAAACTAAGCACCTGCCTGGGTATTTTGTACCATCGGACACTCCACCCCCACAACTCCCAATCGGTGAGGGGGCAGTTGTGGAGAGAGTGGAGAGTTTCCCATACCTGGGCAGTGTGCTTATGACTGGCTCCAGTTTAACAGCAGAGGTCTCACTCCGAATCAGTCGAGCGGCAATATATTTTCATCGGTTGCGTAACGCTGTGTGGAAGCTACCTGGTCTGTCACTCCGCACTAAGCTTCAGGTCTTCTCGGCCACGGTCATTCCCTCCCTTCTCTATGCTTGCGAAACGTGGACCCCCCTAATGGAACATCTTCGCCGGTTAGAAACATTTAGGCTAGACTGCCTACAATACATCCTGGGTTTAACCAGGCTGGATTGTGTGAGGAGCTCACAAATTCTTGAAAGATCTGGGCAAGGTCCCATCGGTGAGCTTCTCCGGCAGGCAAGGCTGCGTTGTCTGGGTCATGTAGCCCGCATGTCCAGCCACCGCATGCCGAAACAGCTTTTGTTCGGCCGGATCGAGGGGGCTAAACGGGTGCAGCACGGGCTAGAGAAGAGATGGAGTGATGTGGTAAAGGAGGACGTGGAGCTGAGTGGACTTGCTGATGACTGGTACCAGCGGTGTCAAGATCGGCCTCTGTGGAGGAGGCTCGTGAAGGAAGCTATTGGGCAGTTGGAGGCAGTCGCCCTCCAACAACAACGGAGGGCGGAGGAGCGACGCTCACAACAACGAGCGGAGCGCTGGGTGGCTAAAGCACAGCAGGTTGGCACAGTAGGGGGCACAGGTGGTGCACCAGCCAGTCATCTCAGTCAGTCGACCCGTGGCACCTGGGTCTGCCCCGTGACCTCCTGCCAGCGGGCGTTCGACACTTCACGTGGCCTCAGGGTGCACATGGCCTGGCACAAGCGTCGTGGTGACGTCACCGCCACTTAGTGGCGAATGGCGGTTGTTGTGTGTGTGTGTGTGGGGAGCGGTAGTGTAGCGGTTTACGCGCTGCGCTATGAACCCGACTCACGGCCAACACCCAGTGACGATTATCTGAACCGGTCCTGGGCCTCCCCGAGGTCGACTCAGCCTCAAATGAGTAACTGGTGCGGTGTGTAAACATCGCCACTGGGGAGAAAAAGGCGGTCGGGAGTGGTGCTGGCCACCCACCCCCTCGTGTACCGTTCCGGCCTTTATAGGTGCTCGCTAAAAGCACTTACCCCTACAGTCTGTTAAGGCTATATGGGGGGTCTTTGTCTTTGTATTTGCGTGCCTTGTGGCTCTTGAAATACTGAGTTTTGTACCGAATTTTGAAAAATATGCCTCTTCTTGTTATTTTGGTTGCTAACTCCTGGTATAAACTCTGAACTCCCTATCCTCATATTTCCTGATCATTACGCAGCATTTCCCTATCCTTTTTTTATTTTTGTTTCCCATTATTTCTTCCCTTCATCACTCCTTGTTATTTATCCATACATGACATCACAGTCTCTACTCACCTTGCCCGTGGTGTACCATGGGTAAAAAAAAAAAAAATTTCTCGTACAATATTAAAAACAACAAACAATGTCACCGGAAACGAAGGAGAAAGGACACTAAAATAGTAAGAGAAGTTCCCAGAGCGAGATCGTGGCCGTAGTCTACCACTAACAGGTACACGAAGCTGTGCGAATTAACGTAGCGAGGAGCTAGATGATAATTAACGGGGAACATAGTGCAGCTGCGGGAGAATTAAAAAGCAATTACAGAGGTGGCCGAGTGACAATAAAAGGTCAGGGAGCCGAGCTGGCACAGATGGGATCTTGGGAAATGACTGTGCTCCACGTTCGATTTAAATCTTTCGTGACTGCAGGGATTAATATTCTTGGTTCTTTCGGTAAAGTCACGTAGAAGGGAAATAATAAAATAATACAAGTAAAACAATAAAATTAGCACGACGTTTCGATTGCAACACAAACAATCATCATCAGGTGTGAAAACCACGGCAAGAAAATTTGAAAAAGAAGTGGCGTTTTTTTTTTCTTCTTCAAATTTTCTTGCTGTGGTTTTCATGCCTGATGATGATTGCTTGTGTTGCAATCTAAACGTCGTGAGAATTGTATTGTTTTATATTTTTATTATTTTATTATTGGGAGGGATCTCAGAGATCGCCCTGCGATGTCCGTTACAGCAGCTCGGCGCTCTGACCTCTGTGCCACTCGGCCACGTCTCTCTGGTTGCCCTCTAAACACGAGGGGCTTGCACCTCTCCGCGATAGAGAGAGAGATTAGGACCAGTCCCTTTGTCTCTTCGCATGACTTGGACAGGGCTGCTGTTCATTTCTTTGACGTTTAGTTTCCTTGTCCTTCCCCTGCACTTCCGATTTGCACGGTCGGCTTCGTGCGGTGCGACACGAGTTGGTGCACACATAACGTCTGTCTGTACATACGATGATCGGGATAACATTGAGAAAGGCACATTCACCCGTAAAAATGCCGTATATATATACACACACATATATAAAAAGAAAGAATCGATGTTAATAAATTGTGAATGCCCAGTGCTCGGACAATGATCCGACTCGTGCCAACTCCGCCACCGCCACTGCTGCTGCGGGGAAAGTGGCGAGGATGTCGCGGAGCCCGGGGTTAGCCGAGCCACGTGCGACGGTGTAAGTGGCGAGACCCCGGGCGTGCAGGTCGCTGCTTGGCCGCCCGCCGTAACGAGATGTTCAGGGGAAACTGAACACCCCGACGGCACTGAATGTGACGACACTGGAAAAGAAGAAGAAGAGAGAGAGGAATAAGGGGAAACAAAACATCCTCCCCACCACCCCCCCTCCCCCCCAACTGACCTGCAGGACATTGATGAATTAGTGAAGGGGAACGACGCGCTGTGGGGGAGTAACCGAGCTGGGGCGAGACACAAACGACACCGCTGTTTCAGGGCCGCCCGCCACTGACAGCGAGGCACGCGTCTAACAGGACGCCCCATTCGGCTGTGACGATGACGGCACTTTTCCATTCCGCAAACCGAAAATACTCGCGCGGAGTTTGCGATGCCGCGCGAAGAGACACGCGTGGGGGGTGGGGTGGAGGGAGCGCGCTTGTGCATTAGGAGGAGAAAGGATGAATGCCTTTACGCAGCGGTCTTCATTGCAAGGCCCATCGTGGCCTTTCGTGTGGCCCCTGACAATACACCGATGGTGAACCTCACCCCCATCATCATCAGCATTGTGCTGCTGTAAAAAAGCCAGTCCTTTGAAATGTGTGACGGCCCTCGCACACGGCGATGTGTTATAGGCGGAAGTGGCTTCCCCCTCTCTGACCATTGGTGAAGAGCACACTGCGTTAACGAGTGACTCGGTGGACAGATTGATATGTGAATCGCGTTACGTGAAAAATGAAGTGAAATGAAGTATAGCATTTATTAGCATCATCATATGTCCCTTCCGTCGGCTCATTGGCAACGATGGGACCACGAATTAATTTATTTAGTTCTCTTTATTTAGTCAGCATTATTGCCTTGTTCAATTCCAATCCTCATTATATACAAGTGGATTATAGGATGAATTAATCCTTAAAGGGGATATGATTAAACATATCAGTTAATGGCATAGGCGGTAAACCCTGGAGCCCTGCTTAATGGCGAGTGCTCGACATTGGCAGGGCATCAGAGGCATGAAAGCATCTATTGATGTTTGGCAAAATAAATCGCAGAGAAGGTGCAGTGCGCATCCTTGTGGGTCCTTCGCTGTGGGTACGTTCACTTTATAAGAGCTCAATGTATCAGACCAACAACATTGTACAAATTATAAAGAGACCTACGACCGAATCACCTGAATGCGCCCACACTTCATAATAAACATTCTGGGGTTCGGTCGCGTAAGTAATAACGCGTTGTTAACGCACACCCCCACCCGACACAGCCAATTGGTTAGGTTTGTCACGTAAACAAAACCGTGCCACTTAGTTACTACTTCAGCACACCGGTGCTCTGGAGAGTAAACCCACAACGCTTACAATTTGAGTACCGCCACGTTCCAACCGGCGATTACAACAACCGGCTTCGTCAGGCGACGTGCCAGAACCGTGAAGAAGTCTTCTGATATCTCGCAGGCTGCTCGGGCGTGCCACATGTCGTCGGTGTGAGTTTGCAGGGTGGCCGAGAGATGGCGACGCTGAGGATTCCTCCGGATGCTCTAAATTTTCCCTCCCACGTGAAGCTAAAACTGCTCATCAACGAAAGTGACCAAAACATGCCAGCGCAGGACCCTGATCCTGCTGACAAAGAGTCTTGAGATTCGGCGAGAAGTTTCTGGGAAAATAGTGTGTCTTGTCGCTGCTGGTATGCTGTCATGGATAAATGATTCCGTAAGTCAGTCGCTCACTTGACGTGAATTATGCTTGCTGAAAAGCAAGCTGCGGTCATTTATCTTGATAAATAAAACATCTTTTGGATGCCACTTTACCAATACATTAACATGCACTCTGCTTCCCCCGTGCCTCGTAAAATACTGCTAATGCTACGCAGCCATTCGCTTGTTCAAAATTAAGTTTCTGCAGAATTACCCCCTACCCTTTCTTTCCATTGAATTATTGGCAAAAGGCCAACAACGTAAAAGTGCCGTGGCTCTCATCCGCAATGATTACTCCTGGCATCCCGGCACGGGGCGTACTTATCCATTCAGCTTTGCTGCAGTGGAAATGGGGGAATTTATTTGATTTTTAAACTCAGTTTGGCTCCATCCCAGAAATCTGCCTCTCGCACGCGCGCGCACGCACGCCCAGTGCTGGCACAGGATTCCGAGAGTCTCCTCATTCTGTCAGCATTGACGCGCAGCTACTGAATTTCATTGTGGATAGCAAGAGGCACCGTCGAATAATTCACGAGCGTTATCTGAAGCGAGTAGCAAAGCATCGATTCATCGATGAAAAATATATTGTACGCATTGAGTCTTGCGCGCGGGAATGTGTTTTTTTTTGCGATGTATGCAATATTGTAGACATTTAAGCTACTGGAACGCGAACAACACCGCGCAAACGAGACCACACAAAGTTGAAAGAGCGTACAAACGAGACGCAAAAACAATACGACACGAAAAAAGAGGGAAATCGATTCGTTAATCGAATCGTGACCATGAATGGTGAAAATGGATTGAATGTGCTGCGGGGTGAGTGGTTATACAGCTGGTGCTACGTGTGTCCATTAGCCAGGTGAGATTCTACTGTGGCAATATTGAGACGATGAGCCCCTTTTGCGAAGGGAGACGTGAGGAAACGCCGAGAGCATGACATGGGTGAGGGAGCAGTGTACGATTTTGAGTGCAAAACAAAGCAATTATTGGAGATAATAAAATCACCGGACGTTAAATTAACGTTCATGGAATAGGATAGGTGAGGGATTGAAGCAACGGGGGGTGAAAATATTAAAGAACGGAAGAGAATTATGTTAAAAAAGAAAGTTTGAGAATGTCATAGAAAATATATGCAATAAAACAATGTAAAACTTCTGCTGAAATTCTTGGACAGGAGTGGAAGAAATGCCGTCTTCGTGCATAAAAAGTGAGTGATTTTCTTGCACAAATGAGCACTGAAGCTTTGCCCATCTCACGTTAACAGCCCCGATCCAGTGGTATGAATTCCACGTTCCCCCACAAAGCGGTACTCACATTATCGACCCGGGGAGAATGATGGGCCGTGTGAACCTCTCCCCTCTCCCCCGGCGCCACTCCCCAACAAGGATTTAAAATCGCAACCTTAACGATTACGAGCCACTCGCTCTAACTCTGAGCCACCCAAGTTGAGCATCAATAAATAATTGGAAAGGGAATTTTTATTTTGAAGTCGTCCGATAATGGCTGCGCGTGCATCGTCGATCGTTCTGCAGCGGCAGTGTTCGTGATGCACAGTGGAGAGTTGCGTTCGTGCCGGCAAATGTTGTACAAGTGCGACTGCCCCGAGCGGGCGAACTGTTGAAGCAGACAGAGTTTTCGCGTGCACCTTTATTTTTTGTTTTGCTACCGTGGTGATGATTATCAATATTATTATTATTTTTATCTTAGGCGAGAGGAGAGATCAGTTTAACACGTAGGCTTTCGCGACCAATATTATTCATAATAAAGGTTTTTGGGTTAGATCGCGTTATTTATAAATGTGTCGTAACCCTCCACCACCCGACACGGCCAAACAGTAAAAACGTGTCACGTTTACAAAGGACAAATAGTTCACTACGTTAGCCCACCGGTGTGTTGAAGAGCGAATTAATATCATTTAAAATTTGAGTACGACGTTTCGCTGGCAATTACATCCAGCTTCATCGGGCAATTCGCCAGAATGGTAAAGCCCTCGCTTGCTCCTGGTCTTAAATAGAGCAGGAGGGTGACGTCATCATTGAGCTCATTTCAGGTGCAGTGATTTGACTCGGAGGTTGGGGGGATATTGTAATTATATAATCGATTGGTAATCAGTCAATGATTATGATTAGTAATGAGTTGTAGATTATTAATTAGTTGTAATGTGTGTTCTTGTGATTATATGCTGCGTTAGTAATCCGTTAATTAGTATGCGTTTCCCCTATAAGGAATTGTAGTATGTCCTATTTAATAATACGCTTCCAAGCCGCACTAAGCCTGTAGTGCGGCTTGAGAGGAGAGATGTTCGATATCGGAGAGAGCGAGTTAGTAGCGATGAATGGCGTGGAGGAGATTGGCTGCCCGTAGGCCTGCGGGACTGCGATGGTGCTCGCTGAAGATCATATGCCCTGGCAAGTGTGAGATGTCCCTAAAAAGCTGGCATGGCATTCTCAAAGCTGGAACCCGTCACTGGCATCGCTCACCAAGCGAGGTCGCGTGTGCGGCAGGGCAATGGGAAATTACTATCAGCTGGGTTCCTCGCCTTCTCCCCCCCTCCCGACTTCCCCCCCACCAACACATCTCCCATACGATAGCAACTGGGTTCCATGAAAAGAAAAGCAAAGAGTCAAAGCAATTCCCGGCTCAAATGAGCATCACATTGAAGGATGTTCATCTCCCGCTTACAGCCCTGAGCCAATGGTGGACATTCTACGTTCCTATGGCGGGGGAGAGTCTTTCCATGGGATAACCGCCGTCGTTGACTTCTCCACAAAGTGTTTCCCATTTTATCGAGCCTGGAGGGAGAGCGATGATGGGCTGATTCAACCCCAAATCAGGACTTGAACTTGCAACCTGATTGCGAGCGGCTAGCTCTGCCAGCTGAGCCGCCTCTCCCCTGCCCACCCCATCTCCCCAAGCTCACTGCATCGCGAGCAACTTCGTTCCATGAAAAAAAACCGGTGAACTCGTGAATTATTGAGCAGTAACCAAAGATGACCCAGCACCATTTGCCTGGCTACCTGCCCACGCTAATGAGCACTTTAGAATAACAATAAAGCCTACAGGCCACGTGCTTATTCCTTCCCCTTTATGAAAGTGACTGTATGGTGTGATTATTTTTTTATTAAGGTGTGCTTTGTCTGTCTTCATGTTTTGTAATCCAGACCCTTATATTGCAAGCGGACGCTACTGAATGGCATTACGAGTTGTCACCCATGTGGAAATACTTGCTACCATTTGCTAGCGTCTCGCTACCTGATGGTTGTGAAGCTCTCAGAACACCTGGCAAATACAGGCTCCATATTTATTTTGTCTTCATGCCACGTGCTAGTTTGTTTTATGCCGAAAAAAACATTTATTAACGTTCAACCACTCAACGATATTGTTACATTTACGAAAATATTAGAATTTATTCGTGAT